TGATTGTGTTTACCGACTTCTGACCACAATATGTGGCACTACCCCACAACTTTACCGGAGGGAGCCCCGGACTTCAGTCGGTGTGCAATCATTTCCATCCTCAAAAGCTCATCGCATGTTTTTCCCCCAGCGCCTCCTCTCGCTCTCTTCCATTATAAGCCCCCTTCCCTTTTTAGGCAACACCCCTCTGCTCCACCCCTGCTCTGCTTTCTCATGACAGATGACATCACTCAACATCTCAACGAGATGTTGTCCTGGATCGCCCCCCACCCCCCTTCCCCCCAAAGCATGCATACTTAGCGCAAATCCCCACATGGACGCTGTTTAAAGGCAGACGGCCTTGGTGAGTTGTTCTCTCAACCGGCCCACCTACCCCGCTCTGTCCGTTGAGCTCCTAAATCCCGCGGCACCGGGCCAAAGAACAAAGTGTACCCGGACACATTTGGCGCTTCTCAAACTTTCCAAATCATATTTGGTATGAGAAGGTTGAAATTGGCTTGACAGGCCCCCCCAACATTAGGCTCAAGTCGAAATCTTACAAACAAACAGCGGTCAAATTGTGAGCGCATTATTACCTCCGCCAAGGAGACGACAGCCAAGCTCATAAATGTTGGGACATTGACACAATTCATCATTTTGGCTCTCAACACCACCAGAATGGATTTGAAATGAATGATACCACCTAAATGCGCTTTACCTGTGATTGTATCTAACAGCTACAAACAACATTTGCGTTTACAATTTCAAATAAGTTCATTTGGATGTTGCTCGATGTTTAAAAAAAAACATCATTTTATGCCGTGAAGGCGCTTCTGCTCCCGTGCCAGTTTTTCGCACTGTCCCGACGGCACTTTGTCGTTTGGCTGCCTGCTTGGCATCTTTTACCTTAATTTTTTTCCCCTCCCCTTGAAACTGGTTCTTCCCGTTTGTGGTTGTTAACGTTCGGCAAGGGTGGAGCGAGTCGCTCATTGTTTATTTATTTTTTATTTTTTTGTCTTTGCCGTCAGATGAAAAGCTCAACGAAAGTGGAACGTTGACCTTGTCTGGTATGCGTTCTCCTCCTTGAAACGAGCTTTTCTCACCAGATTGAGAAGCTCAAAGACCACTTTATCATCTTTGTTGCAGTCGTGCACTTCATCACCTATCCGCCCCCCCACCCCCCTTTCTTCCTTATCCAGTCAATAGCTTGAAGCGGCCTAGAATATAATTTGCCATTATGTTTCCTACTTGAACCTCTGAACAGAGCCGACAGTTAAGTGTTTCACCTGCCGTGGCTTTTTTTTTTTTTTTTTAATGCGCGTAAGCCGCTCTTGAAGGCACAGCTGCTGCACCTTCATTCACGTGCCTACGCTTCCCATTCAACTTCCTTTCAGTTCGTCATGGGACCATGTTGTAGAATTAAGTGTACACTCAATGGAACTCTTTGTCGAAATACAAAAAAAGTGCTTTGACAAATAGAAAGCAGAATTTGTTATTGCGGCGCTACGTTCCGGGTGCAGGTGTGCCTAATGAATGGGACCGTGACCTACCTCACCACAACTGAGCAGAACTATCGGAGTTCAGTTATCTTTGCGGAGCAGAGGCACGGATTGTAGAGGTTCATCAACGACCTTCAATATTATACTCATCCTCAAAATTCAAATGGGTCACACCTCTTCGGTGGCTGCGAGAGTTTGTCACTGGTGGGTGTGTCAAAAGCCAAGACGGAAGGAAAGAAATTGACTGAAGCACAAATACCTGTTCATCAATTTACAGTCGATGAATTCGATGACTCCCGACGTGTGGTTGTGTCGGCAATTTTCGAGGTAACGGCTACAACTTGTCATCATGCGGCGAATCAAAACAAATATCGTCCACAAAAGAGGATCTCGATCCGAAGCCTATTTTGCAACCGACGCTCATCTGGATGTGATCCAGATTATCCGTTTTGACAGCGTGGAACATTCCATTCATTTTGACGAGGGCAAACGGTTGTGACACGTTCGACTTCAATTTTCCCCCAAATGTCAAGCACGGGCGTCAGTTTCGCCATGTGGCTCATCGGAATTTCGCGCTACGTGAGCGTAAGGAAGAAAATTGCCGTGATTCATTTTGTGAATATTTATCTTCCGCTTCCTTGTTGACTGGCAGCTGCAGATTTGAGCAGGTGTTTTTTCATCGAAAGTCTGCGTGGGTCACATCAGAACGACGCATCGCGCACGCCGCCGTGCCGGCGTCGAAGACGCTAACTCGCGCTAAAAGAAATGTAAATGCCACGCGGCCCGAAACATTTCACATTTCCTTTATTTGCTTTGCCTCTTTGGGTCTTTTGCGGGACTTAACAAGACGTAAAAATGCCAAGTCTAATGGCGAGGATAGAAGTTATCTCGTTGCTGTCAAGATGATAAGCGTGCTAATAATAAAGACGCCCAGGCTTGGTTGTGGACACTTTTGCGGAGGAAGTAATTGAGTTCAAGCAGTTTTATCAGCGGCTGGCCGGAGATGTGCTGCCTCTTTATGATAAAAGTGACGGGTGGGGGGGTTCAGGGTGGGGGGGTGTATGGACAGGTCGAGTAGCCATAAATTGTACTCAAGTCAAAGCACGGTTACTTCAGAACAGTGGTGTCAAACGTCGTGTGAATCCATAAAAATGTCGAATCAGATCGACACGACAAATTGAAATCGGAAGCCAGTAAATCATTGTTCAACTGGTTTTTATTTTAAAAGTGGGATTTGGAACAAAACATGCTCACATTATCTTGGTGTTGCAAAAAGTGAAGACAGTTTGTTAGAAACAGAAACTTACCGCACGAGATTTGCCTACATGGGTCATGTAAAATGATATTGCGGTTCAGATCTGGCCCCCGGGCCTTGATTTTGACACAAGTAAAAAAAAAAAAAAAAAAGCCTGATTGGGGCTGAGAGCCGCCAACATGCTTCTCATCTCTTGGCGTTAATATCCAATCAGGCTAATTTTAGTTTGAGGAATTTTTTGGAATCACGCAACGTGTCCGCTCAGCATGCCGGTGCGAGCCTGCCCTCGCTTTTGGAGCGACGCTCTCGTGCAGTTGCTACTTTGAAGTGGTCACAATTAGACCGGGGGAATGTCTCTTCATGAAGATGGATTCCCGAGCCCAATGGTGCCCGGCTGTCACACACAAAGAGGAACACACCAACTCCTGACGTGAAGTCTGCTTGTTTTGTGAACACCAAGAGCACCAGCGACTCTTTCTAAGAGTGATTACACAACATCTGAAGGCTGAACGTAAACACCTTTGTTTAAATAAGGGATCCTTTTCGTGGCCTCTTTCTGCTTTGGGCACCCACGTTGCTGTTGCGGTTTTACATTTGTGATTGAAGAGCACACTTTTGTTTTTTTTTTAATTCGACTGTACATGTCATGTTTTTATTTTATATTAGAACAATATTTGAAGTACTGGTAAATTAGTCACCCTAATAAATAATTATACATATATTTATATTTAATATCTTGATGTCGTACATAAGATTTAGACTGTCCATTGATGACTTGATGATAAATATTTAAATTTACACATAAAATTCCAAAAATTTGTATTTGGTCATTATATCATATATAGTATGGCTTTGATTTTAATTTGTGCATATCATTTAAAATAATGAAAGTTTGTCAGGAATGTTTATTGAGGCACACAGCAGGTAATAAAGTAAGCATACAACAACAAAAATTATGTACCTATCTTCATGCATTACAATGTAATCAATTGAAATAACAGCCATGAATTCATTAGCTTAATACCTTCATTTTAACAATAATTTTATCAACCACAATATTATCAATCATGACTTACATCCCAACCCATTGATTTTAGCATGATGTATTATCATTGTCACCATTATTTCTTGTAATGTTTTCAATGCAATCAAAATGATTTAAAATGTCAAGATTCATAGTCGAAACATGGTGAGAAACCACACAAGTGGAACCCAACAAAAAAGGACTACAAATCCCAGCGCTCAAACGCGAAAAGGACTACAAATCCCAGCGTTCAAACCCGGAAGCAAAACGCCGGCAAGACTCACTCGAATGCAAAAATCATTCAAACTTTCCAATGCAGTCCGACAACCGTGATATGACAACACTCCAACAAAACACAACTAATCATGGACACCACTGCAATTTCAAGTCTTAACTTTATCACTTTTGCCCACGTCGTTTAAACGCTCCTCCAGCGAGTGTTCGCGCTGGCTTGCGAACACAACAGCAAGTAACGTTAAGCGATGCAGCCAACATAAAGCCACGGACACAAATCAAAGCAGACATACAAAGCAAGCAAGCACGATTGAATGTTAAAGATAATTCAAAAGATTTGATCAAGACAAGCGGACATGACAAACGTAGCTTACCATTGGGGTTATGCTGGACGATATGAGTGATTTGCTATTGAGCGAAACTTTTTTTTTTAACGTCAAATGAATGGTCACCTGTCAGTGGCAGCCCCGCCCCTTTTAAAGCCCCAGGTAAATCCAACAGAAATTCAATTAGGGGTCTTTTATTTTATTTACAACGTACGCTGGGGAAGAGAGCATTTGGGGCATATGGGCGCTGAAAATGGAAGCCAATCTGTTGCTTGTCAGAAACTGTCCTGGCAGCTTCAATCCATCGACAAGCCTTAAGACAACCACGCTGGAGACCGAGTGGGAGGCTCGTTCGCTGACTTCGTGCATATTTTCTTTTCTCCCGCGTGTTACATAACCCCCTTCTGCATCTTTTTCTTTTTTTTTTTTTTTTCTTCTTTTGCGTAGCTGCTGACCCGAGGCTACCCAGTGCCCATTCGAATGGATTCGCTTCCTTGTACGTGGAGTTATTGTACTGTGTCATGATTCTAATTTCATATTTTTGCCTGATGAAAGTTGCAAAACATATCATATAACACTCAAATCAGTCTGGGAAAAAAAAGTGACATCAAGCATCGCGTCTTCCCAGAATATTTCAAGCCGAAAGAAAAACACAATAGTAATGTACTTCTGTGTCCCCGCAGACAGTGAGGCCCTCACGCCGGACGTCTCAAAGATCACTTCTGGCGACCCCCGAGTGAAGATCCAGAAAAAGAGTCGGCACCGCCAACTTCCCGTGAACATGTGGGATATGGATGAAGACGGCTCGGAGGAAGACGATCACGACGGGCCGGACCGGTCCGTTGACCACATGCCCCAAAACTCTCATAACTTACGGTTGTCCGTAAGGGGGTCCGAGCCCCCGGACCTCCTGGACAACCAGCTCCGGGTTCACTATGTGCACGGCGAACACGTGGGCCTGACGGACCCTCACACGGCGGTGATTCGGAAGCATCAGGGCCCGGACAGGACGCTGGTCTTCACTAGTCGGCCTCTGGATCACGGCGAAAGCGTCTTCGTGATGTTGCAGACAACGGGGTCGGCCGAGCTGAGTTACGGCGTGACGGCCTGCGATCCGGCCACGCTGAGGCCCCAGGACCTGCCGGCCGACCTGGTGCGGCTGCTGGACCGCTCGGAGTTCTGGGCCTTCGACAACTTGTCTACGCAGCTGTTGGACGAAGACATCCTTGGCTTCGAGGTGAACGCCGCCGGCGAGATCGTCGTCAACCGCAACGGCGTCAGCCTGGGGGTGCAGCTGTGCGTGGACAACTCCACACCGCTGTGGATGTTCTTCGCACCCCACAAAAACATGACGCAGCTCAAGATTTTCGGTATGTTTGGGACATCTTCAAAGTTTCTATCCATCTGTTTTCCGTGACGCTTTTCCGTGGTACGGTTGCAAAGTGGTGGAACATTTTGAGAGGATTTCCAGTATTCAAGACATCTCAGGGGGCTGCCATTTTGGCCTTATACCGCCCTCTGCTGTCGACTGAAATTGACGTCAAAGTGCCCTCGGGCTCGCATTGCGAGCATCACACCTCACCTGTTTTCTGGGTTTGTGACCAGTGTAGTACAAGTTACTTTCAAAATACATAACACATTACTAGTGACTTGTATTTGAAAGTAATATGTTTCTTGATAGTTATTTATTACTTTTTAGTTCTTAGTTAATCGGAATTCTTCATATCATGGAGGTTGTGGTCCATGTTGCATCTGCATTAGTGGTTAGCAATCGCCAAATAAGGATGCTAAAAACAAAAATAAAAAAAACAACTCTTAATTAAAATGACATTGTATGATATGGCGCCAGTTGCTGTAGCTAGCCGCTAACCGCTCAGCAAGTGCCCCATACAGGCTGGTCAGAGCCGTCTGATTTCTTTTCAAAGGCGGTTTCATAAGTAAAAATAACTGCACACTTTGACGCTGACAGCCTGACTTTTGATCAATTTTCAACAAGCCCAGGCGAAGTCAAATGTGCTGTTTTGGAAGCGCTAACTGTGGTTCTTACATTGGCTAAGCAAAACTCAAACCATTGATCGGTCGTCGTTAACCCTTTCAGGGACAGCTGTTACTAAAGCAGACAGCTTACTGTGTTATCAGGTTACAGGGTGTATGAAAGCATTAAATGTGGGTGGGGGGGGGTTGCCCCCTTGTGTATTCATAATTATTCTTGACCAAGCTAAAATGTATGGTTTTTATTTCACCCAAATACATTTTAGATTTTTCGATTGAATTTTCAGTAAAATATTCGAATATAGTAACAAAATATTTGACAGCTGCGGCCATTGTAATTTATAGCAAAAAAAAGTCTTTGAATTGCTATCAGCGTTAGCATAATCGTTAGCACAGTACACTGTTAATGCCGTAAACAGACCCCTGGAGAGCGCAACGCACGTATTGCTTTTCCCTGAAGATTATTCAGCTACATCACAATAGCGTGTCCATGTGCAATATGCAGACAACATTGTGGGGGTCGGGGGGGGTCGTTTTTTTTTTTTCTTGCTGTAGTCATTCATCAGCGCTGAGGAGGTAATTTCTGTCAGGCTCAGGCTCCCCCGCTGCCACCAGTATTATTTATCAGGAGGGGGTTAGCTCATAATAGCTCCTTGCGATGCCCACCATATGCATTATTAAATGTAATTGCGCCGCGCTTGGAGATGCCGGGCGTCCACCCACCGAGCGTCCCCTCGGCGGGACGTCGCTCCTCTCCACTTCCTCCGCCTTGGCTCGTCCGCCTCCGCTCTCTTCAGGCTCATCCTGCGAGACGTTTTCCCACTCCAGCTGTGGGAAGGAGAGCGGTGGGTCGGTCGGGCGGGACGCGTCGCCACTCGCCCACACGCCGGGGGGGAGCCTGGCAACCGCCGGTTGCCGTGGAAACGGGCCGCCAAACGAAGCAAGTGACAGTTATGTCATGGCTGGGTGTCGCCGAGCCTGTCAAAACGGAACAGATGGGACCCCGTCGCTCCCACGCGCTCCTTCTCGCCAACATTGGGTCTGTTTTATGAGAGATATTTCTTCACAGCTTGATATTTTTGGGAGACTGCGTCGTATCTAGTTGTCTGTCGCACACATTCGCCATTTGCCATTCGGAAATGTATCATTTCAATCTTCAGGCCGAAGCCATGTCTAATATAAAGGTAGTGCTTTGGTGCCATCTGGTGGCATCTTGGTGCCAGGGAAGTATGCTGAGGTGAGGGGAGGAGTTTATTTTAGTCAGGCCATGCCCCGCCTCTTAAAGGTACATACACAACACACATTTTCTAAACATGTTATGCTGTCAATTTTTATTTTATTTTATTTTTTTCTTCAAATATGTTGACCATTGTTGATGGCTAAAGCATACGGGAGGCATCCAACTACATTTCGCCTGCTCTGTTGTGATCCTCGCCCGTTGCATGTTGTCAGGCTTGTCTTCGCACTCGGATGTCCAACCCCCTCGGAGATCACCGTTGTCCATGAACAACACCGCCGCATCCAACGCCAACATTCCGTCCAATGGACCCCCCAACTCCAGTCATTCGTCTTCCGCTACAGGTTTGTCCGAACCCTCCTGCACTTCCCTCCCTCCCATTTTCGGCAGTGCCACAGTCTCCTCCACTTCAAACAGTCATAATTACAGTCAATATTTATAGACGGAAATCACTTCCCGGCAATAAATATTCTATGAATGAGAAACAAAAGTACGGCGGTAACGGATAGCGCCTTCCTGCGCCACCCGATGACATAATGCCGCCGCGCAAAATAGTTCCTTTGATGCGTCAATAGTGACACGGTGGTGTCAGTTTTGTAAAGAAAAAAAAAATCTTGAAAAGTCGCTCCATGCACTGAACGGGCTAAAATCTTGTGAAATAGTGACCCGGTTTTCCACGTGACGATAACAGCGGCACGACCGGCGGCCATGCACAAACCAGATCCCCGCCCGCTGACTTGTTTGCACATCAGGTCAAATATTTACCGAGCTCGTAGCAAGCAGTGATGTGATGTTGAGCTGGAGCACAAATAAGAGACGACGAAGCCAAGTGTAAACATGAGACCTCATTGTCTGCTACTTTTGTTTGTGAGGGCGAAAAAAAAAAAACTGCACTTCAGTTTCAGAAGGATTCGACTTAGAATCAAGTGCCCGTGTGTCCCGATTACTGTCGCTTCATGCATGATGACCATATATGGGCGTAAGGACAATAGAAATGACATGCCAAAAGTGAATCCAGCGCTGAAATAGAATGTTACTGTTTGTATTTTCAAGCGGCGACGTCAAAAACCAAAGCGATCAATCTTTTATTTATTTATTTTTTTTGATGGTGACTTTGACTTTGTTGTGATCCAAATATTTGTTGTGCATCGTCAGGCTCATCTGTCGCCACGAACCAACTAGTCCAGTTGATCCTGAGTCCACGCTCGCCCGCCCTCACGAAGCCCAACGTCGTTTTGCCGCCGACAAGGAACAACGAAATCAGCTCTCCTCCCCTCACAGGTTTGGCGCATCAAATTCTACTTTCGATTTGAATTTAATCAATCAGTCAATGTATGAACGCCATTTTCATCGCCTTCTCGTTCAGAAATGGAGCAGCGCGCCCCGCCGTCTAGCCCGGGCTCCCCCGGTCCCCCCGGCTCCCCGCAAGTCTTAGACGACTGCGCCATTTGCTGCGACGACGCGGCGGACACGGCGCTGTACGACTGCGGCCACCTGTGTCTGTGCTACACGTGCGCCCTCAAGCTCAAGCAGGATCAAGCGTCCTGTCCCATGTGCAGGAAGCCCATCCGAGACATCATCAAGACCTACCGCAGTTCGTAGGGCCGCCGACCGTGTCGTCACACCTTTGGATTATCATGATCAACTCAGGTTTTTCTTCCAAGTAGTTCGGACTTGTTTTTTTTTTTTTTGTTTTTTTTTTTGTGTAAGGACACGAGCTGCTTTTCGGAACAATTCAGTTCCCATCAAGACTGGACAAAACCCGCAATCTCACAGTAGAATATATCGCAGTTCACAATCAATATTTCTCTAATTATAATTTGATATATCACGCTCACCGAAGATGTCCAGATGAGTTTTCTGGCGCGGGTCTTGTTCTGAGCGGCCAATCAGAGGTCGGAAGAATGCCGATGTCACCAGCGCTCTGGCCCTTTGAGGGGGGAATTTCAAAATCGCATGAGTTAAAAAAGAGCAATGCCATCGCTAACATGGTTGAAGTTACATCGGCCAGCGATGCGAATTCTGAAGGCCCTGGGCAGATGACATTGACGTGGTAACTCACTGAGGCTCAAATCTGATTGGACCAAAAAAAAAAAGATCTAACATCTACATACACGTGCTGGTGGCCACAAGAAATGCTATGAATTGAAGTGAATGGACAGTTGGGAACATCCATCCATCCATTTTCTCATCCTCACAAGAGTCATGAAGTGTGCTGGAGCCTATCCCGTCTCTGGCCACTAGGCGGGGGACACCCTGAACTGGTTGCCAGCCAATCGCAGGACACACAGAGACGAACAAACATCCGCGCTCACACTTTCACCGAGTGACAATTCAGAATGTTCCATTAACCTGCCATGCATGTTTTTGGAATGTGGGAGGAAACCGGAGTACCCGGAGAAAACCCACCCGGGCTCGGTGAGAACATGCAAACCCCACACAGGAAGGCCGGAGCCGGAATCGAACCCCTTCCCTTTTCACGGTGAGGCCGATGAGCTGATCAGTCCACCACCAGGCCTGGGAAAAAAATGAATATAACACATTTTGGAATTTAGGTTGTAAAATCATGAAGAAATTCACAGGCAATAATCAAAGAGACAATCAACATATAGACAGCAGCAAGACTCACAGAGTGAAATGCAAGTACAGCAAAGGGACGTTGGGACGTTGGGAGTTTTTGCTTTCTTTAGAAGTCTGAAATCTCAGTAACGCGGGTGTGTGTGTGTGTGTGTGTGTGTGAGGTTACATGGTGACTTCGATGTTCCTCGTTAAAATGTACCGGTAGGTTAGTGTGTCCGATAGTGTTTAGGCCTGCCGCGCTCGCTGCTGCCGTTTGGCTAGCATTGGCTAGCATCTAGCACCAAAAAAAAGGGGGTGAGATATTGCCACGTGCCAAAAAAGGGACACCAAATGTCAAATGTCCTTTATTGTTCTTTGTTTACCGTGTTTAGTTCCACTGCTTTCTTTGCGAGTGAAGCATTGCTCTGGAATGAACGCCATGTTATTAGCGTACCGTGGCTAACTGAGCCAAACTTGGTGGTAAAATGTCCAACACGGGATTAGATTTTAGGCTGGGGTGTTTTGGGAGGTGGATGGGGTGTCTAATTTTGATGGCATGGGACCTCTAAAATTCAGTTTTTCGTGTAAAAATGTCGAAAATGATTTTAATGATTTGTTAAGGCTAACTATGAATTCTGTTGAACATTTTTGTCACTTTAGTTGAAACCGGCGCTGAATGACTTTTTTTTTTTTGTCTTTTTCGAAAACATATTAACTGCTCAGATAATGAATGCTGCCACTGCACTAATACGCAGTAAAAGGGTTAAAAAAATGGTGTGAAGTATGTAGCTACCTACTTTGTGTGCACTTGAGATGGTACGAGAAGGCTGCTGTGGGCTCAAGGAGGATGCAAATGAGCCAGGAAGTGGAGGAAGGTCACCTTGCCGGCGTTTAAAAACAAGCTGCGAAAGCACGACATGTACGACTTTTTTTTTTTTTTAATTGAGTCACAAAAATAAAGAATACCGTCTGGCATTTGTTAAGTAGCTTTTAAAGAATGACAAGTGGACTTTTTCCCCCTCGCTGTCGAGAGGAGAAGGCGGGCAGACACAAAAAGGGGCAGGTGGCTTTGTTTACGCCATTACAACGAGGATATTTGAAATTTGGGGCTGGGAGGGTGTCCAAGGACAGCTTTTTGAGATTTTCATTTTTGGGGGTTTTAGATTTGACTTAATACAGCTGAGTCCATTCAGAAATCCATGCATTTCTTTTTAAACACTCGGTGCACTCCTAAACTGGAATGAGACTGTGCAGATTTGTATTTCGCTTCATCCAAGAAATCAACAGAAAAAAATAACAATTATGATGTGTAAGATATGTAGTAGTTTGAGGTTAATTTATTTTTGTCAAAGCGTCTATGAAGAATTCCTATAATGTTGATGTATGGCCACAAAACTGCTCCAAAAAGTACAGTATTACCTATCACGTATTAAAGCTGATTTGCTGGAAAAAAATGGGGAAAATTGATTGAAAATTTTACATGCTAGGTTAGCTTCAAGCTAAGCTAAGACAGCATTTTTTTCACTAAATTGTTTGACGTTTGGTTGACAGATAAATGTAAATGGCGACATTTGTGGGAAAATTGATTGAAAATGTTGCATGCTAGGTTAGCTACAAGCTAAGCTAAACCAGCATTTTGTTGTTGTTCTTTTTTCTTTTTTTCTTTTTTTTTTTATTTAACGTTTAGTGGCAAATAATTTAAATTGTTGTCATACTAAATGTAAATGATGACACTTTAGGGAAAATGGATTGAAAGTGAAAATGTTAAATTGCTAGGTTAGCTAACAAACTAAGCTAAGCTAGCATATCGCCGCTGTCCTGTGAAAAAACATGTTTGTTTTTTTCATGGAAAAAATCCGGCGTCCATGTTTTGGACATCACGTTAACGTAAATATTTTTTTTTAAACTGACAAAAATGGACAGCGACGATATATTTCTGTTTAGTTTTTTTCTTTTTAATTTGGAGAACACTTGCTTTCCAAATAAGTCAAATTGTTATCATATTTAATGTCAATGTAAGAAATAATTATGATGTCAAAAATACAAAATGTGTTTTAGCTTGGCAGCTTAGCTTAGTAGCTTAGTTTAAAATATGTGAAATGGTTTCAGCTCTCTTTTTTGTTTATGTGACTTAATTTTTCCAGTCAAAATTACACTTGTAAAATAATTGAATTTGCATTTGTATTTTTATTATTTTTTTTCATAAGCTGTTTGCCGCCGGGGGCTGTGGTTTTGCAATGTATGTGAGTGAAGTCTGTCAAATCAACCAATGACGTTTTATTATTTGTTGAATAAAGTTTACACAACCAAGCACGTCTCACTTTTGGTTTGTTTTTGTTTTTTTTTTGTAATTGAATTGTGTTAAATTTCGAAAATAACTATCTCATTCTATCTTTCTAATTTGCTGACTTTATTTTTCCTATTGGCCTTATCGAACCTTTTTTTCTGATAAAAGTTCAAATGTATTCTTTTATTTTTTACTTCACCCTCTTAAAAAGGATCATTTTAATAAAAACTTCTCAGGTTAAAATGTAGGTGTTATTCTTGTCTTTTCTCTGTAATTGTTTGAATTTTACTTTATTCTCTGGTTTTTTTACACTTGATAGATATTTTTTTCCTTGTATTCTCCTTCATGATAAGTTCCACTTCCTGTTGTTCCTGTTGTACAGTATTTCCATTTAGCCATCACTTGTAAAGAAAAACAGATAAAACTGAAAGAGTTTTGGGATCTTCAATTTCAAAAGTTCCATTGTCACAAATCCAATGGAACACGTTGAAGGCAATAAAGCAGATAAGGCGGCACAATGGCAACCTGCACGCTGTATCTGCAGTACATCAAGCCCAATCACTCAGTATGAAGACTTGCGAAACGCCCATTTGCGTACAGTATATCCGTAGAATGTGACTAAAAGAGTCGGGGAGAGGCGGGGGGCGGGTTTGGGGGGGAGCTCAGAGTAAACAGCTGTAAGTCACAGAGCGACTGTTTATAGATTTGTCCGATGTATGTAGAGCAGGCCCTACTTTGTTATTTACGATCCCGCAGGCCACAAGAATGAAGCGACATGAATCAAGTGGCCGAGTGTCCTCTTAGGGTGACACAAACATGCTTTTGTGTGAAAGTGGCAAAACTACTTTTTCACACACACACACACACACACACACACACACACACACACACGAATACATATTTTGTGCGGACCCTTGGGTAAAGCTGACTATTGGACTCCGAATGACATCTGAGTGTTTGGTTAATCTCTTCTTGACACGCAATTTAAGTTCCCATTGCTATTCCAAAAAAATGCACACAGGGTGTATTGATTTGGGAAAGACACTGACTTGAGATCTGAGAAAGAGGCTGCTATTTGTTGAAGCTTTTGAGCTTTCACCTCAGTAATATCCGACGGACTGAAAAGTCATTGTAATCAAACTTCACCTTTGAGTGCAAAATGCCAATCGCCTCTTGTCACTGTTAAGCTTTTTAATCACCGTCAGTGTTGAAGGAGGAGGGGGTTCATTCGGGGATGCTTTTCCGCTTTGAGCTCTGCTGCCCTCCAGTGGATAGAAAGTGTAATGGGGGATAACCAACTGTGACTGTCACTTTTCGATTTATTATGGCTGTGCCAATTTATAACAAGCTGGCTTCTCTCAGTAAAATAGTAATACTGTATATTATATATATACCTGTATATGTGTGTGTGTGTGTGTGTGTGTGTGTGTGTGTGTGTGTGTGTGTGTGTGTGTGTGTGTGTGTGTGTGTGTGTAGTAGCGTCGTAGGCCTACGGCCCGACGTGCTACAAAAAAAATATGAAACCAAAGTTTTATTTCTAATATTAAACATTATTGCAAGCAACTCTGTAATAATACTACGGTAGCGTATTGCATTCAGTTGAAAAAAATATTCAGAGTCATATTGGAGGGCTTTGTTGTTTCTGAATATTTTTTCAGTAAAAAAAATTACAAAATAAATTACTGCGTAACAAAGAAAATTAAATTTTTGTTTTTGTTTTTTTTTACGGATTTTTTTTTTTTCAAGTGGATGCAATCCCCTTCTATAGTGACATTTCTTGTGATACTCGTAATAAACTTTTTGAATCACTGGACTGTATTTAGCGCTGATGTTCAGGTATGATACTTCCATCCATTGAGCACATGGGAACAAAATGTGTGAATGATGAGTAAAAAAAAGAAAAAAAAAAGAAAGAAAAAAAAAAAGAACCAAAGAGCTGTTTAAAAAGTGCATTTATTTTCATTTTCTGGCACTTGAGTTATTGTTGCTTGTGACACCGTAAACAGTCAAACAAAAAAAACGAGCATCCAAGTTAAGACTACAAGTAAAAATGTCAAATTTACTGCCCAGCAGAAATTTTTTTTGCAACGTCAGGATGGATTGAGCAGATGTGTGAAGTGGTTGTGAACAAATGTGTCAATCATCATGGTACCAAAAAGGAAAAAAAAGAATAAATACAGATTTTGGTGGCCTCTGATTGCTGATAAACCATCAAGGGATTCATTTATTATGACAAGCAAATGTTATTAT